ACTCTACACAGTAATAAAACAACATAAAAATTTACTATATAAACCTAGGGTTACAAGCAGAAGAACATATCATAAAATTGCATTAGTACCAGAAATAAAAACTACTGCGGCTAGTAGACAGTACAAATACACTCTTAACAAAGAACTTGATATACTTATACAACAAAATAGTTTATGACTGCAAATTAGCCATTACAAAATGGCTCGAAACTAAGTCGTATGAGGAGCAATTACTACTACACACATCAAAAGTGTCTAGGGATCAAGTGAATATTTTTGAAATAAAAATTATTTAAGCAATGTTTACTAAATCCATTCTTCCAGGACGACTTCTTACTTTAATGCTTATGTTTTATTTAACCGCTTACCCCTATATTTAATTAAAATAAACTAAAATTGATGTTTTTGCAAATTGTGGGAAAAAACTCAAATTAACGGCGTCAAGTCAATGACAAAAAAATGGCGAAAATGATGATTTTGCTCATTTTTATTGTAAAGGTAAGAAAATTAATAATCTGTATTTCCACCATTAACACGAATCACACAATTACAGTGATTTGGCATGCTTAAAATGAGTTCATAAAAATCACTTTGAGGAATGGCCGCCCATGTGTTTTGTAACAAGTAAAAATATTGTTGTAGAGTATGTACGATATGCATACTCGGCACAGCTCTTCTTTGAAGCATATCCCATGCGTGCTCAATTGGATTGAGGTCTGGCGATTGAGCAGGCCACGGCAGAACGTTGATACGAGCTTCGGCAAGAATGCGTGTTACGACTCTAGCCGTGTGTGGACGTGCGTTGTCATGCATTAGTTGAAATGAATCACCCAACTGGCCTCGCAAAGGGATGATAACATCTGAAACAATCCTCTCTGCGTAAACTTGAGCATTGAGGTTACCCCTGATCCAAATGAGATCGGTTCTTCCGCCGATCCAAATACCGGCCCATATCATTATTGTTCCCCCACCATATGGATGAACTTCCTGGCAATATCTCAAACGTTCATGACGTCCAGATGTTCTCCAAACTCGAGTACGTCTTGTATCCGGTCTCATACCGAAGCGGGATTCATCCGAAAAGCACACATAGCGCCAGTCTTCTTCCTCCCAGTTTCTGTGTTCGCGAGCCCATCGTAAACGGGTCCTGCGATTGCAGGGTGCAATAGGTGGAACTCTGAGCGGCCTTCGGGATCGCAGACCCACTTCACGTAAACGATTTCGGATTGTTTGATCGCTTATTAGCAAGCCTGAGGAGCTGTGGAGCCTCGTAACCAACATCATGGCGGTCATGGTACGATTCCGTCGAGCAGTATTTTGGATATACCGGTCCTGTCTGCGAGTCGTGATGCGAGATCGTCCTCCATGTCGCTCGGCCACGCTGCCCGTCATGCGATAGCGCGTCCAGAGGCGACTTATGACGCTCTGTGTAGTGTTAAGAGTGAAAGCCACAGCACGTTGCCTGGAACCAGCTTCCAACATTCCGACGGCTCGCATCATCACTTCTCGGGTTAAATGATGTCGTCTCTCCATAATAATGTAAATTGTTTCGGTTCCGATCCAAATATTGTAATGATTTTGTCAAAACGCTATAACTCATTTTTATACAAAACCACATTGACAATCGATTTTCTTCTTATTATCGAATTTTAAACAATATTCATTATTTAAATGTTAAAACTCACTAAAAAGTATCAACAGCGATACAAAAAAGTTAATATAATTAACCCTAATTGCAGCAATACTCTTAAACGTACTTGATCCCTAGACACTTTTGATGTGTGTAGTTTGAAATAAATAAATAAATATATAAATAAATAAGTAAACATAAAAGCGAGGTATTAGTTAATATAATATTGTCATTAAATTAAATCAAAATAGAACAGAAATATGTGCGCTCACACACACACGCACGCACGCACGCACACGCACCCGCACACACACACACGCACCCGCACACACACACACACACAAACACTCATTTACATGCACACACACACATACACAAACACTTATTTACACACACTTCATGCATATATACACGGACATGCACTCACACAAAGTAACACATAAGTTAATTTTGTCTTAGGTTGTTAAGGTTAATGTATTAGTAAATTATAGATAGTTATAACACCAGCTTAAGAGCAATGTTTAATTATTAATTGTAAAGAAGAGCGATGTTTCCTAACACAGGCCCTATCAAGCTTAAAAGGAAACATCAGCCCCTGAATTATACCATGTACAGTGAAATAATAAAATATTTTTATTTATTTATTTATTTTTATTTATAATAAACTCATTTTAGTAGAAGGACAATAATTTTAATATTTGAAGTCGATTAAAAATTAAAGTCTTAAGGTTTTTAAGTAATCAACATTTTGTAGAAACAAGTAAAATAAAGGAATAAACTATCTTATTCTAGTATTTTTCTACTACATTAATATTACGACTAAGTACTTGTAATCAACAAATACTTGCACAAAACTTATTCTATTTAGAATTTCACTCTGTAAAAAATTGTATAACGTTCAAAAATATGGGTTAGATACCGATCGTTTCATGACAAATCTCGTAACTCGTATGCAATCTTTCTGACATTTGGCAAGTGACGTGCCATGAACTGCCATGACGTCCACTGCACAAATTAGAAAGATTTCTGTAAAGATATAAAAGGATTCGTGGACTTTCAGTAATAATTTTAATAAATTATTTGAAACAAGCACATTGTAAAAGAAAAATGGTAGTATTAGAAGGAGAAGCAGGAGATGCGAAGCAGCAGACCAACGAAGAAGCTGATAAAGAAGAAGTTAAACAACCGTCTCTTCTAACTTTAGAGAGTATCCTTTTATAAAATTACATTGAAATTGTATTGGGCTGTAAACTTCAATATTTACATATTCTTAATCTGTTGCATGAAATTCGTTTTGCCAAATGTGTTCACTATCAATCAACATAACCTATTGTATATTGTAGATAGACATTAAATGAAGTGCATTCTTAGTCTAATTCCTTTAGGATTATTTCTAGGCATCTATTGTACGTGGGTAACTTTAGTTTTTCACTTCTAGGATGATAGTAGACAATAGCTTTTATTGTATCCTGACTTGTTAAGAATAATTAATATGGTATCACTTTCTAACGTCCCAAGTCATTTGAGTTTTATGGATGAACACAAATATAATTTAATTATCAAAAAATTAATTAACCAGCAACTCTGTCCGTTTTAGGAAAAACAACTTGTTATTCAAATGTAGAACACTAGTTTAGTATGTGACGCAATCAAATTGATCTCACCGTTGTAAGGAATCATAAACCTAAATTCCCAACTTTACAGGAAGCGTTTTACAAGACTAAAATGTATACGATTCGCACCTATGATTCGTTTTACATAATACAGTTTGATACATATTCATAATTTTTCATGTTGTACAATTTTATTGCTATGTATACTGCAACTTATTCATCTCGTCTTTTGATATCATAAAAAGTGATTTAAGAAAAAATGTAAACACCTAATTTTGTGACTTAAAACTTGGGAGACAAATTTATTGCAATATTACTTCTGAAAAAAACCCAAAATTTGAAGCATAATATTCTCTGTTTAAATTCATGAACCAGAAAATTATAGTGTTAAATTAAAAGAGGTTAGGTGTGCAATTTCCATAAACTCAAATTACTGAAGCTTAGATTTTAGAAAATAGCACATTTTTTTCTTTTTACTAATCAACCCCTTTCAAAATTTTATCTTTCCTCATAATTATAGGCTGGCATCTGCAATTAAAACAATATTTTGCTTGTGGATGTGTACTGCACTATAAGTTGTGTCAAGAAGGTTGCCTTGTGTGCAGGTTTCAGTACAGAATACGCATTTTTACATACACTCTGCACTCACATTGTTTATTTTGACATGTACAACTTTTATAATATTCATACAAAATAACTTCAGAGTATTTGAGCAGAATTTTTTCTTTTGGTATGCTTGTTACAAATATGAAATAATTTTGTCAACATCAATAAATTTTACTATACTTGTAGTTAGCAAATTATATAAGTTGTAATGAATCCAAAAGTTACTCCTTAAACCCACCTCAGTATTCCGCATCACGAAGGATGCTCAACAGCAGCACGGATTGCGGCATGCCGACTATCAACGCTATCGTGGCTACTGCTCGCGGCGCATCCGACGTTTGCGTAAAGTGCTCAAAATCCCTCAGGTATCATTTGTTTCTCATTACTTTTTAACCCCTCTTCAGCATTATTATTTCCATCTAATGGTCCCCACCATCTGTTTCTCATACATTTTTAACTAACTTTTAAAAAAGGAGGTTCTCAATTTAACTGTATTTTTTTGTGTACACAGTTACTCTGACATATGTGAACTGATTTCAATGATTCCTTTTTATTTGTGTACCTCAGTAGTGCTCCCATTTAAATTTGGAAATATTCCACCTCTAAATTAGGGGATGAATCCGAATTATTGGATTTAACCCACTTTCCATTAACCTATGTCAATAAAACTTGGCAAATAGATGTAATTCCACGAACTTTTGAGGTCGGTTTTTTTTTATAAAAAAAGTTATAATTGTATTCTTACATAGGTACAAGATGTAGCCACTGAAATATTATATTACAGGGCGACAGACGCCACTACCGTCGCCGTGACGTCACAACTACCCACCTGATGGGCGCTAATGCCGAGAATCGCCTACTTTGCGTGCCGCTACTGCAGGCAGAACGCGCATGGGCTCACGCCATGCAGTTGCGTCAGGAAGCCAATACTGAGCCAAGGAAGAAGTTCCACCTTACCTCAAGGTTGAAGAAAGCTTATGCACACGCTCAGACTTTGTTGCAGCTATGCGAGGTAATTGCTAAATTGATTTTGTTAAAAAGCACAATTGAATAGCCCTTTCAATGAACAAAAGTTAAAAGTTATCGTATTTTTAACAAAAAAAGGAGGAAGTTCGCAATTAGACTCTTTTTTTCATGTATGTTACGCGATAAAAAAAAACGCACGGCATTTGTGAAACCACATTGATGATTCTTATCTTGTTGGAAAGAGGGTACCTCAGTGTTGGTCCCATTTAAATTTGAAGAAAATATTCCACCTCTAAAGTTAACAAACTATGAGGGATGAATCCGGTTTCGCGCACTTCCGGTAACCAATTTCAATAAAACTTGGCAAATAGATGCCATTCCACGAACTTTTGAGGTAGTTTTTTAGTACTCTGTACTGAGATTATAAATGTTTGTTTTGTCGATTGTTCGCTAATTATTTATTACTTACAAAATTGTGTATACAAAATCTATATAGGTCCATAAAACTTAAACTATACTATTCTAATTATTGTTTAGCAAAGCGGCGCCTGCGATGCGCGCACGCAACTTGAAGCAGGCGCGTACGCGGCGTGGTTGGGTGGCATTCTATTGGTGGAGTTGCAGCAATGGCGCGCGGCGGCCGAGAGCCTGCAAAGGGCTCAGCTTGTGCTCGATAAGTTGTGTGCTGCATTGCCCGAAGATGAACGGCTCGTCTATAAGCAGAAGGTAACTTCATTCCCATTTCATAATTTACACTTAGATACTTGGGGAAAGAGACTGAAAAGTGTTTTCTTTCTTTTGAAATTGAAGTTACCAAAATAAATAAGATTCTTTAGGTGGAAATTGATGTACCTACTTGTAAATACAACCAATATACCTAGACCAGACCTGGAATAGACCAATGGACCTCTTTACTTATATCAAAACAATTAGTGAAGATAAAATACATTATTGTAGGCATTGGCTTACAAATAAAAAGTCAATGATTGTAGGCATTACAATATACAGGTGTCCCAAAACTCAACGATAACCTGGGAACAGGATGTTGCCTAGTTTGTAACAACTCAAAAAAAATATTTAGAAGATCCGAGTCTTTTTTTGTGATATAAGCATTTTAATGAAAAATGTTTAAAAAGGAAGGCCCTGTATACCATTTTTAAGTACTACAATTACAAATTTGCTAATTTTGCTATTCTAGTTTTTGTAACAGTAACCCAAATAGCCCAGCTAATGAACACAATGCCAAAGTAAGCCCGAATTGCTAAAGCTTCGCCACAAAAAAATATTGTATTTAATTATTTTCTTGAAATTTTTTGCCGATTTTTTTAAGGTAACTTTGACACCGCGTAAAATGTACCTAGACTACCATGGCAACTTCTTACAAAAGTTGGCGCAACTAATCAAGATCCTAAAATGGTATAAAATAAATCTTGGTTTTTCTAAAAAGAGGCCAAGTTAAAAACGTTAAAACGTTACCTTTTCAAAGTGAAAATGGCTTTCAGTGCCTCTAAGGTTAATTTCGGTTTCATATCTTTGTAGTTAGAGTTAAACTGACTGGTAAATATGATTGAGTGAGGCAAACAGTCTCAAAATTCCACATTTCTCGACAGATATAGGAATTTAAATAAAACTAATGAGTAAATTATTATAATTTTATGACTACAGCAAGGCTCAAACTGTTTTCCACCGGCATCAATACATGCACGGCAACGCCTTAAAAATGACCTTTTCATCAATCGTGCATATCATCGTAAATTTATCTGTTGTACAGCTTCCGTGATTCTTAGTCGTAATTCGGCAACGTTTGATATGGGTTTTTAATAAACTTTTTCTTTCAGACTACCCCAGTAAAAAAGTCTAGGGGTTCAAATCTGGAGAACGGGGTGTCAGATCTACAGGAAGACGTGCCACTTAGCATATTGCGGGAAATGTGGTATCAACATGATGGATGTCCTGCTCATTATGCCCGACCAGTAGAATAACTCAATGAAAAGTACGCAGGTCGATGGATGGATGGCGCTTTGGTCCAAGTTTGTGGCCACCTCGTTCTCCAGATTTGAACCCCCTAGACTTCACAAAAAAAATTACTCCGATTTTTATTTTTGGGTCGTTACAAACTAGGCAATATCCTGTTCCTAGGTTATCGTTGAGTTTTGGGGCACCCAGTATAATAAACAAAATAATTCAACGAAGTTTTGTTCCTCGGTTATTATCATTGAGTTTTGGGACACCTGTATAATAAACTAAATAATTCAACGATGTTTACTCACTGGAATGTTGACAGGTTGAAGAACTAAAACCTAGTCTGCGTTATTGCGCGTACAACATTGGCGACCAATCTGCGGCCGGCGACCTCGTTGCTATGCGCGGTCAGGGACTCATCGAGAATTTGGATTCTCTCATGGCTCAAGCTAAGTAAGTATTCTATTCATTAAATGTTGTTTATCATGCCAACCACTTGACTAATGGTTAAAAAAACCACAATTTTATTTTGTCAACAGGGAATCCCGTTCAGGTGTAATGCACGAAGTGGAGTGGCGCGGGCGCCGCGTTACCGTGCGTCCAGAGAAAGTACGTCTCTTCCTTATCGCTCTGCAGGACCTGGACAAATCCGTCGCGGGCGCAGACTCGCCGCAATCCAAGATTGACATCCTCGAAAACATACTTATGGATTGCAAAGACGCCATATCCGCAATCAAAGATGAAATAAAAAATGATCCAAAACTCAAAACCGCATCCGAGACTCAAATGTCCGGCATCAACTACTTGTTATCTTACTTGATGTACTTGCGCTTAATGCGCACCATAGAGAGAAATAATTTACTAGTGCAGCAGGCCGAAGAAGCACGCAAGAACAACATCCAGATAGATGGCAAGAAGGTCCGTCCTCACGACTTGACCCGGTTGTACGAAATCATATTACAGAACTTCACCGAACTGCAGCAGCTGCCTGGATTCGAAAATGATGCAGCATATCAAGAGGAGATAGAGACCCAAATGAAGGCTTATCGCGCATTCCGATGCTATTATATCGCACAAGTTCTCACAGGGCTGAGACGTTTCAGAGAAGCGCTAGCGATGCTGGAAAGGAGTAGCAACTATGCTGCCGAATCCATCTCTAACAAATTAACTGATAAGAAACTGGTTGAAAAGCTGCAAGTTTTGAAGAAAGATATAGAAAGCTGTAAGTTTGAGGTCCACGCAGACTCGGTCCTAGAAGATGACGAGGAGCAAGATGAGGAAACCAAGTACACGTCAAGCGGCAAACCGTACAAGGATAAGAAGCCTTTAGTGGACAGATTGGACGAGTACCGCGAAGACACACAGGTCCTGACTAAAAACCCTAACATATACAAACTGCCCCCACCAATGGAAGCCATTCCGTGCAAGCCGCTGTTCTTCGACCTAGCGTGTAACTTTGTGGAGTTCCCCAACTTAGATGACAAGATAGGTGCCGGCGATAGTAAGAAGCAAGGCGCCGGCATCACCGGCCTCGTCAAAGGATTCTTGGGATGGGGCAAAGGTGACAAATAGAAGACGTTCTCCATGTAAAACTGAATTTATATTATTTTATACATTGTCATTGGAAACAATCTGCAAAATATATGTATCTATATAAGGAAACGTCATATTTTAATTGCGCAACAATTTTATAGAAGCAGTACTGTATGCAATAAACAAATATTTAACAAAAAATTTAAACAAATTAAAAGTAAATTGTTCTATTTAAAGTACAAAAATAGATAAATTTTACATCGTGTAAAACATATTCATTATAATGTAACCTCACACTGTCGTAACACCGATTCTCACAATCACACGTGGAACTTATTATTGCGATATTGTTAGTTAATTATAAACATACAAATACGTGACTATCAATATGATTAACATAACTGACATGTTCATTAACTACGTGAATGAAACAACGTGTTCACCTTTAACTGTAACGTTGAGACGGGCCTTAACTTACATTTTTAAACAATTTACATTTCACTAAATTGCCTGTGAAATGCTATTGGACATTTGGTCTTAAGTTTAAGTCTGCTTTTGTGACTATTTGGATGTATGTACTACATTTACTTTTGAGAACCATTACACTATCTACTTTAAACGTTTTGACAGCATATGTTATTGGAAGTGGATAAAGTCGTTCGTCTCATTAGGTAAATCACGTCACAGTATCGCTATAAAAAATTCGTTCGCTGCTATTGGTCAATGAAAGCTATAACTATTACATAATACAAAACTTTTTATTGCAGTACTTTTGTAACTGTAGCGTCTTTATCACTATTAATTAAACGTATAGGGACCCAGTAGGCATGAAACCCGAAGTTATCAATCACAAAGCGGAGGCATTCCAAAGTATCACAATAATTAGCGAGAAGTACGGCCAACGAGAGTAGACGTAGAATTAAACGTACTGACATTTTTAGTTCCTTTTCGAGTGTAAGCGAATACGTACGCACTCGAACTGTCTTTATTTGGTAGTTTCAAAATTTGTGATAAAAAATCTTCCATTCTACCTTACCAAAGTTTACGTGTCTCTCAAATTATTACCTTGAAAATAATAAATAAAGAAAAGTGTCAATTGGGCATATTTAATTCCAAGCACATATCTTGCTCGATAAATATTAGGTACCGTGAAATTTGCTAAATTTCTAGTACTAGTCTCGTTCGCCTGACCTGTGTTAGTGGGCTGCGAGAGGGGGCCAGTGGGCGGAGTCGTGCGCCCCGACGTCGGTAGGCGCAAGCAGCTGGCCGCAAATGGCGCACGGACACAACTCCGGCAGCGGTCGACCCACGACCAACTCCTGCTGCTTTGCAATGTCCGGCAACAACGCCACCAATTCTGGCAACACCTCGTCCAATTTTGGCCCCATAGCGGCCGCGCAGTGCTCGCGGAATTCCTCCGCGCTAATTATGCTGTCGCGGAAAGCGCGCGAAGCCACTTTGAAGTCCTCGACCGCTGCCGCGCCCCCGAGGGCCGCTGCGAACTTTTTAACCAGCGCGCGGTTCCGCTGCTCGAAATCCGGCGGCGGGATGTACGTGTGTACGGGCGCGGGGAACGTCTGCCCCGCAGAGTTGGTGAACGTCATACCGTCACACGCCGGCCGTGACTTGAACCCGGGCGGCGTGTTGCCATTCGGCATACAGCTCAGAACCTCTTTAGCGCTCCTCGGCAGTGCGTTCGCGCTCTTACTGGACGCAGCAATAGAATTCTTCGACAGAGGCGGGTAATCTTTGGACGTGAAAGAAAAATCTCCATTGCCCCCATTTCTTTTCTTATCCGCATTGACCGCAGACGGTGTTTCTACTATAGTCTTAATTTTGGTGTCGATTTCGATATTAGGGCTGTCGTTCATCATGGCGGCATTGTACGCTTCTTTCATCTGCTGCTTCGTAAACTTTTCAGTTATCCCATTCACGTACGTTACGTTAGTGGGCTCCGAGTTCTCCTTTTTGATGTTGTTTTGCTTCCTTTTCTCTTTTTTAGTTAATTTAGTTTCTGGCGGAGGTATAGGCTGATGTTGGTGCGTAGGTTGGACGATTGGTTGTTGGGGAGCCTTTTTGGGTTTGGGCTTGCTATTGACGGGTAGAGTGGGGAAGTCGGCGACTTGGTTAAAGGCGGGCTCGCGCGGTGGTGGCGGCGGTTCAGGTCTGGCTGGTTTGGACTTGTCCTTGGATTTAGAAACTTTGATCCACTGCGGCGGCGCGGACGGCGTCGACGACGACGACAGCGCTGGGAAAGCTTCAACGTTCAGTGGAACTTTCTTAGGCTGCGAGTTAGCTGAATTGTTATTCTTCAAAGCTTGCATTTCTTGAGTGTTAATCAGGGTAACCTGTAGCCAGAAAATATTTGGGACGTTTTGTATTGAGGAGTAACATCGGAGATACAACGTGTATCCTACAAACAACGGGGGCCTTTAAGATCGCGATACAGAGGCGTATTGAAACATATACCTTATACCATACCAAAAACCATTAGAAAATAAACGAAATGTACCGTGACTGCCACCGTACCGAAACCCAGGTGTACTATCTAAAACAATCTGAAGGGAATCTCTAACTGTGAAACCCAGAGTGCTAAATCGCTGATACACCAATGTAATAACTTTTAACATCGTCAAGATTGAGGAGAGTTTATTATTACCTTAGGGGGCTGAGTTGCGACAGCTCCGATGTTTGGATGGTCGTCTTTAGACGCTGGCCCGAGTGAGGGGAAGTCGTCGTCACTGAGGGGAGCTCGGCGTGGAGGGAGAGTGACGCGGTTGCCGCTTGTCTGCGTCAGCCGAAAGTTACTGGCGCTCGCCGGCTGGCTGTGCACTTGGATCGACACACTGCCTGAGGGCTTTGCTGGAAATTACACCCATAGATTGTAAAATTAATGAATAAAATAATCTTTAGTGCAGATTAAAAAGAAAAAATATTTATGCATAATCTGTTTCAATTAAAAAAAATGTTTATATAATATGAACTAACGCGACGAACAAGTTGTACGCGCGATGGTAAGTTACACGCCTGTCCATAACAGTTGCAGTGCCGCTCAGAGCTTTAAATCGCAATGATCTCAGGGGCACTGCCACTGCGGCCCGTCAACCTGAGACATAAGTAGACAAGTCCCATGTGCCTGTAATTTTATCAGCATGTTTCATTGCACGAAAGATTTAAATCTTTTTTTTTTTTTAATTTTACGTTAAGTTAAAGTATGTTGTATACAGTCAATTCGGGTAACTTTGAACATTTTTTACGTTTTTCTAATAATTTCAAATTTAATTATGTTTCTCAACAATTACTTTATTAACTGAATAGTGTTCTTTTAAGCCCTTTTTTGGTTCTTATAGAAGCAATTTAGTAATTATTCAACAAAACTGTTCTAGATTTGCTCCAAAAGTCACATTCAAAGTTGCCTTGAATTTTGGGTAACTTTGAATAAGATTAGCCTTCGATATGGAAACCGTATATTTTCTAGATATTTTACAGTTTGTGTAAGATTATACGACATATTCATATTTTTTAGATGTGAATCTGTCCAAATATTCCTGACAGTGCGTTCAAAAACGACATTTGACTTGGTATTGCCATAATAAAACGAGACGAACTAATTTAGTTAAAATGAAAAACTTGTTTTTTTTTTAGATTTTTTAATTAATGCGAATAAAAATGAAAATTTTCTGTTTAATAATAAATTCTACGCTTATTTAGCTATCAAACGAGATCAAAATGAATCACCTATAACAATTATTTTAGGCAAAGTAAATACATAACAAAAATCTATTCACCCCACTCCTTGAATAAAATGCCGTCATCAATATAAATACGGCCGCCTTTTCTAGATAACTGTTGCTCTTTTATAATATTCACAATATCGGCTTTATTAACTTGACATGTCTCAACGTTAGAGGGCCAAGACCAACCTCCTAAAAAGCATTTTTGGAGCACTGAGACAGTATTTTCCAAAGGAGTAACTTTTAGAACTCTCCCTGTATACAGACTACCCTCTTCTCTAAAAACACAGTCAAACACATTCAAAGTTACCCAAATTTCTCTGTTTGGTAACGTCGTCAAAATCTAATTCGTTTTACGCGTAAATACAAAACCAAATTAAATTATTCTTTAAAAAAGCGATATATAAACCTCTACTTAAGTGTGGAAACCAAAACTTACCAGTCAATATTCAGATTTATATATTTAATTCCGATTCTAAAACTGAGCAACAAATCACACCAAATTACTTTCGCCAAGAAAAAACCGCGAAAGTTTAAAAAAATACAATTTAACATTACTTTTTTCTTTCATAACTTTCGTTTAACAATTTTGTTCCAATTTACACAGTTTCAATAATAAAAATAAAAGATTGTCATACATAAAATAATTTTTTTAATCTTTTACGCAACTACGTTCAAAGTTACACCACGATTGAAAGTTACCCGAATTGACTGTACTAAATGTTTATTTAAATAAATCATAATACATACAGTTTCTTAGCACAGTGGCGGCAGCAGGCGCGGTTTGGCGCGGGGTGGTGGGAGGTTGCGCGGGGCGGGAGGCGCCGCCTCCGAGAGTAGGGAAATTCTTGTCGTTGCGTTCCAACCTACCAGTGCCTGCGCAAACGCATACTATTAATGTTCTACACTGCAAACTGACTGTTACTTGTCAGTTCTAACACATTCCTACCACTGTCAAAATCAAGTCAAATAGTAGAGGCATGTTATGTCCACAAAGTCTGCAGATATTGTGGAGTACATACGGGTGGAAGCCAATGCTGTCCCGAGAGTCGAGCAGTTGGAGTCCAGCTACAATGTGAATTTTAATTCATTTGTGGTGAGAGTACCAACTCAACATTTGTCGACCTTCATGAAGGAGAAGTTTTGGCCGAAAGGTGTCATGCACCGACGTTTCCAAGGTCTGTTACCGGACGCCCACGTTGCGTTACACGTCGGGGTCCATACGTGTAAATAAATAAATAGTGTTAATTGTGTATGTTAGTCTATAAGGTATGTATTTATGGATCTTTGTACAGATATATTTGTGTATGGTCATAATAAATAAAAAAATATATTATAAAAATATTATATAAGAAAATAATAAGTCAAGTACTCAAACCTGACATAGAAACCCAGTATACTATTGTCATGCAACACGGTTTCCTGTCGTATTTTCAACACACGTCACCAGTTGGGGCCAGGAATGAGTTTCCTGAGGGGTAAAGTAAAGCGACCTGCGTAGGCTCTGTTGGGGCCGGGCTGCAGCAGCATCTGCGTGGGCGCAGCAGCGGAGAGGCGCGGAAACTGCTCGTCACTGCGCGTATCAATGCGCGGCGCGGGCGGCGGCGGTGGCGGCGGGCTGGGCGGCTCTTCCACACGCTCCCTACAATAACAACTTCACCTCATCTTACTGTGTATAAAATGTCCTGTAAACGATCAAATAATTGCCTCGGTGCCGGTGGCCGAACGGTTACCTTGCCGGACTGTCACGCAGAGGTCCCAGGTTCGATTCCCGGGCCGGGAGAAATATTTGTATGGCCTACATTTATTTCTTTCGCGAGTTTGGGTGTAATTTGTGGTAGTTTATGAGTGTGTCCATGGCACCCGTGACACAGGGTTTCCCTAGTGCAGGGCTATGTTGAGCGTGTTCGTTATTATTATTATTATTTTATCTATCTATCTATGATTACAAAGAGAGTTTAGCAGGAAAGTACGCTATCAACCTTTAAAAAAAATGTCACATGCGTTTGTCAAACAGTCTACGTGATGGAAACTTGATTGACAGCGTTTTTAACAAAGTAAATTGAACGTATGCTGGCATATTTGTTACACAGAACGTCTGCTGTCGCCTAAAGGCTGAGTCTAAGGGTCTAGTCTCGTTCTCCGTTCGAAACAATTACTGTCAAATAAATAATACTCGATCACATTAAAACAAAATGTCAAGTACGAAGCTTCATTCACATCAGAATCTGAATCTCAGAATATGACGCATGTTATTAAATTGGTCGAGTCTTACTTATTTGACCAACAATATCTAAACCACAAGGATTGTCAAAGTTGTTTTATCGTTTGCGGCATTGTTTGAAGATAATTTGTAGTTTGAAGGGTAAATTTACCAAATGCGCAGATACACTTACGAGCAAAGGAGAATGGGCAAAATGGACCTGGGAGCGGCCACTTCAAAAACTACTTTCAATCAATAGATATCATTAATACGATCAAAAAATATTATGGGCACCAATACGTAAGTCATCAAGTTTTCGAAATATCTTGAATAATGTTTATTTTTTAATGTAGATACTTAATATTTGAACTTCTGTCTGGAATTTTGTTTGTGTGGTGTGTATGTTAAAAATGATTACCCAAATGGTGTCTTAAGTTTAAAAGGGTTCTGTGAGCTGTGGAATTATGACACAATTTTGGAATCTGGTCCAGTATTTCTTGTTATAATATTTTTTAGGGAATATAAAAGATATGAAATAAAATAAAATATATTGTTTCAAAACTCATTTACTTCGTCTATTATCACTTCATCTAAATATGATGCTGGAAGATTAAGAGCTCCTTGGTGCCGTGCCCACCCTAAATACCATACAATCGACATGACGTGAGCACAGCAACCCAAGGTCCGTCTACCAGTAAGGCACGTACAATAGTGTTGTATTATGCGCGCTCTTCCAACGCCTTCCCTATTTACTACTATATATACATAATATACTCGTGCTCTGGTGTGTCTTGATTGAATACGTCCTCTCAAAAGATAGCAATCTCCAGTTACATGCATTTGCGGAATATCTATAGATTCATCTTCCATAACTTCTATAAAGTACACTCCATCTCGTAAGTGCTCGCTACAATACGACCGAGCAAGCTTTATTTGATAACTACCTAAAGCAAACAGTATTAAATCTCTTTCTTCTAATTGTGGAAAATCATTTATAGTTAAATAATCAGCTGATATAGAAACAAAGCTCACACGGTGCCTATTTAAATTGTTATTAATGACGTAGTCGGCCAGTAAGTTGTCTACATTAATTTTCAAATGAATTTCATTTAATATATCATTTGCGTAAGGTCCATCGGTAAAAGGTTCCCGAAAAGCATTAAGAATGGCTGCGGCATTTTTAAAATCTTGGAACATGTGTGGTACGGCCCTATTAAAATACTTCTGCCGTAACAATTTAAAATCTCTTTTAAGACGCCCGTTAATGGCTTCAATTACCCATCGACAAATTGTAACAAGCCGCGACTTGTTTGCTTGACTAGTTGAGAGCTGCGTTTCATTGTTTTGCTTTGACGCTGGCATATGAGCTGTGTAACCACAAGATTCAATAACTGGTAATGAATCCCTAAAACCCCTGTCCAAGATAAATACATCCCCTGCTTTAAAAAACCAATGAAATACCGAGTCTTCTGACATTAATTGTGTCATAATAGTTGAGTCAGATGTTGTTGCCGCAAAAGGTCCAACTACGTCAATTATGTATCCGTCACTACACGTAATAATAAATGGTTTTAGCAAGTTTTGAAACTTATGTAAGCTGTATGTAAGACGTTGGAATGAAAAATTAGAACTCTTTTGTATATAAATGTACGTGCCATCAAATATAAAGATTAATCTTCTATCTTCTTCAGATTCTGGATTCCCAAAAATAGCATTAGGTATTAAAAGGTTTCTCCTCTCTACTTCTCCTCTCGTAATATGGTCAATTCCGAGGTGACGCGTTACAAAATCGTTGCTTAAACATTCTCTTGATTGTGTTAATAAGCGCTCAAAGGTGCGTCGACATATATTAAAAAGATCAGACAGTTTTGTATTTGACTCTCCCGTTCTTAGCTTACTAAGGTAGATGCCCAGAGCAACTTTAGGTCGTTTACACCTTTGAGTCAATAAAGGTGTCTCTTCTATAATTTGTTGAAACTGCGCCGGTGTAACTCCAGTCCAGAAAAATAATTCATCAGCATCAATATTTTCGATATTTTCGAAATTAAAATGTGCAGACTTTTGTAAAGATCTCTTAACCATTTCAAATACATCCGTGACTTGTTCTATGGTAAATGAATTTAATAAAATAGGCGAACCAATTAATATCTCCCAATGGTTTGATCGTATATGTTCTGGGCATATTCTAGCCTCGTCAGGTATGTATATATTGTGATCACAAAAAACTTTAGTTTTAATGCGATGTGGAATCCTCAAGTGCGTTTCTGATTCACATCCCGGAAACAAACAACGTGAAGCAGTGTTTGGCAGACGGTAATAATTAGGTATAGAAACATGGCTAGTTTAGGTCCCGGCGGCATGACTCCACAAAGCATTGTTTTATTTTATAGAAATATCCAGTAGACAAAGGAATATTTGTCAAAAATGTAACACGTGTTCATTTATTACTTGGACAATTGTATTGGTCATAACTTTTTTTACACACAAAATACGACTCTGACTCCATACTAAGTATTGTTTGTCGTAACATAAAGAATTATAAAAACTATGTTTTTGAAGTGGCCGCTTCCAGGTCCAAGGCCCTTGTATTTTGCCCATTCTCCTTTCAATCCAAGGTTAAATTCTAAGCTTAATACCATGAAAGAACACTGGCCTGCAATTTACCAGGACCTGTCTACGACAACACGCCTCCGTGTCTATTTAGCCGCCAAGAAGCCGTAAATTTGGTACGCGGGTGCCACGGACACACACATAAACAGTCACAAATTACACCCAAAATCACGAAAGAAATAAATGTAGGGCATACATAGGTCAATGAGGGCATACAAATATTTCTCCCGGCTCGGGAATTGAACTTGGAACCTCTGCGTAGCAGTCCGGCATGGTAACCGTTCGGCCACGGAGGCAGTTACTTGTTACAAGTTTAGAAGGGCGGTCGATACCTGGGCGTTCGCTGCACTACGGCAGCGGAGTGCGGTGTGATGTTGAACTCAAGCTCGAGCGTGCGCGCCTGCCGTGCTGCACCGCGATTCAGACCACGGCCGTGTACTGTCGCCTTGTGAGCTGCAATCCGTCAGATCAACACGTCAGCCTATACAAGTGTAATCAGTAAACCAGTCATTAGCAACATTTCTTGCCATAGATACGGAAACATAAACAGTCCATGGCAAGTATAGGTGCCAGAGACTCAATTTGCCATCCAACTTAGCGGTGACATTTGTCCAAACAAGGATTATTGGCTGCGTATTGAGTAGATAAGTCGCTAAAAAGAAAAAGCATCTATCATAATAGCAACGACTGCCGATGAGCAATCATAGTGAAGACAATTTCTATTGCTTAACTGCAAATACACTGTGCCCCTTAATGATAATTACGTCTGGTGCTTTTCTTGGTACAAACTGTGACACCAAAAATGATCTTTGATCTACAAATATTTAGAATAAAATTAAACCTATATTTACAATATTATATTTCCATTTGTCAAAATATTACAAATTAAAAAAATTCTACAAGAAGCAAAATTATGACATACTTTAACAGTTGAAATCAGAGTTATATTGACAAATTTAATTGGAACAACAAAACACTACGGCTAGCAACGTCGCACCATGTGTTTGTATCCGCGACGTATCTAAACGTGTCAAATGTCCATCTCGAAAAAAGTTTGGTTTGTGACTTTCTTTGAGATCGTTTCCTCAAATATGTTTTCGTGTTTATTTAATTTTTCCATTGTCTATCATTTTCAGTCAAAAATTAAAAAGACAAAACTATGAATCACCATGGATATTTGTCGCATGGATAAATATCGGATAATTATTAGAAAATTAACACTTTGATCATTTCGAACCCTGGTTTAAATGCTCGGCCTGTATTAAATGGATAAAATTTTATCTTTGTGCCAAAAATGGTGATTGAACATGAACATCAAATTCATATAGTCCCTAATTTCAGTGTTGCTATGGGCTTTCCCTAGCTTACTTTCCATTAATTTCTGTTCCCTGCTTGAAATATCTGTTATACAATGTGCTTTTGCGTTAGCATAGCTCCATTAACTTTTATGGCAAAATGATGTACCAAGATAATACAAATAATGTAATGGTGCAAACCTTTGAGATCTATTTCAGTCCTAAACACCGCCGTAAGCTGATTGCTAGCGCACTCTCCTTCTTCGCAAAGGAAATGCTCGGTGCGAAAATGATGCGCCAACGCCGAGTAGGATGCGTAGTAGAGGTTGCGGCCGTCCGCATCACACAGATGGCAGTAGAGATGTTCCTTCCGCAAGTGTCGGTACAATTCGTCCGCATCCATGAATCTTTCCTCGCAAAACTCGCATAGTGGATGACCTCTACAATATAGAAATAGAAAAAATAAATAAATGACATTGCTTATTTTAAGGAAGTCCTATGTTAAATTATGTACTAGTACTAGAATAAAATGCATTACATGTGCTGACACAATATAACATGTGTTCATTTATTCTTATTATATAAATTCAACGTGTATACATAATTAAGTAAAGTTCTACTGTATTTAATATTATTGTCCCAATATTTACTGTATATCTTGAAAAACTGTAAACATAAAGTTTAACAAAGAAATTTGAAAATGTAATCAATCAATCTAAAATTAAAATGCTACAATGTCATAGTATAGGCTTCATTATGGTAATAAAAACTATTAGAGAGGAGTAATACATTATAGCAAACTGGAATTTATATGGAATATACCACAGTATGCATAGTGTTAGATAATTTACAACCTCGTTATCAAATAAACTAACAACTCTTAATTAATATGTACATAGATGACGTTTAATGTTTCTATTAATAGTTGTCATTTAGAAACCATACAAGTCAAAATAATATGATCTTCACTCGGTTACAACTATAATAGTAATTATGAGGTGCCAAACAACCATGCCAATTGCCTGGTCTCAAACTAGGGTATTCCCAGTACTATGAGTACCAGAGCAACGAAATTCCATCTGGGGCACTACCCAGATCACCCAGACCAGAAACAATTTAAAAAAGTTAACTTGCCAATTAGGTCCTACCGGGAACCAAACCCGGGACCTCATCCAGCGCCCACAGTATAAAACGTTGGGCCACCAAAGTTGTTAACTATATAACACTTGGAATGATATTGATACAAAGATTTTGTGTAGACTGAAGGAATGAATGAAATTTTAAATAACTTTATCTATGAAGATTTACCTTCAGGTAAAGTGTTCCTTTGTTAAATAAAAAAAAAGTGCTGGGCGGCATTTGGGAAGCTTAACCACATCTTCAGGTCGTCAATCCCATAAAGCCTAAAAACTAAGACATTTAACCAGTGCGTTCTACCAGTTAAGTCCTATGCAGTCCAAATGTGGACATAAACAACAGGCCTGGTCCACAAATTCAAGGTCGCTCAGCGTGCGATGGAGCGAGCTATAGTTGGGGTTTGTCTGATGGACCCAATCCCTAACGAGGTCATACACCAGAGAACTAAAGTGACGGACATAGCTCGCAAAATCAGTAAGCTTAAGTGGCAGTGGGCCGGGCATGTCTGCAGGAGGGTTGATCGGCGATGGAGCAGATTTGTTCTGGAATGTAGACCACGTCAAGGAAAACGTAGTGTGGAACGCCCTGCGGCAAGATAGACGAACGACCTGACCAAGGTGGCCGGCAGTGGCTAGATGCGGGCGGCACAAGACCGGGAAAGTTGGCGTGCTCTAGGGGAGGCTTATGACCAGCAGTGGATGCGTATAAGCTAATGATGAATTGTTAAACAAAAAAAATGTATGTCATATATGGGTATATAGTACCCATACTAAATATAATCTACTAATACAGCAACATGTTTCATAGAATACTGAGTCACCACTTTCTAATATAAACTCAATGGTTTATTCGTTTAAAGCAGCCTTTCCCAAAGTGGGCGATAACGCACCCTTGTGGGCGCAGAAGGCCTAAGGTAAGAGACCCAGAAAAAAATGGGAGCGTTTTGGGGGAGATTTGTAATTTCATCTAGGAAGACTCTTAGATACCGACTGACCTCTCGACTCTCGACTACAACTTGTGAACATACTGAAACATAACTTCGTACAATATCTCTTTGTTAATTGCTCAAAAAGGCAAACCACACAACATCGTAGAAGTTAATTAATTACGGAGTTAATTTTGCCAGCAATAAAGGAAGTAATAACTACTGTGCTTCATAAACCGGCCGCAGAGATTATCCGAAAAATTCCTTTGAGTAATAATTCTGTGCAAAGACGAATTGATGAAATGGCTGAAAACATTGGAAAATCATTGTGCAATCATGTGAAGACTAGTCAATTCTCAATTCAGTTCGATGAGTCCACTTTACCAACTAATGAAACATTGTTGCTGTCTTACGTGAGATTTATTAAAGATAAGAAAATATGTGAAAAACTATTGTTTGCTCGAAATTTAGAGACCGATACAAAAGGCGAAACCATATTCAATACATTGGAAAAGTTTTGTGATGATAAAGAAATTCCCTTGAAAAATATTATATCAGTTGCTACGGATGGCGCTCCGGCTATGACAGGGTGCCATAAAGGCTTCATAGCATACTTAAAAATAAAATTTCAGATGTCCTTGCTGTACACTGTGTTATTCATAGACAACATTTGGTTGCTAGAAATTTAAGTGCACTGCAATATGTCATCAAAGCAGTCAATAAAATCCGTAACAGCTCTTTGATAGATTATTTCATCAGCTTTGTGTTACTAATGACGAAGATTTCTACTGTTTGTTGTTTCATAGTGAAGTTCATTGGCTATCAAGAGGCAATTGTCTGACTCGATTTTACAACCTGTTGGACTCTGTGATAGAGTTGTTGGAAACTAAAGATACAGAATTGCGCAACAAGCTCATTACATCAAAGAATGATATCGCTTACATGACAGACCTGTATAAATTGTTCAACATCATGAATGTCCAACTGCAAGGCGATGAACTAAATTTAATTAAAACAAAAAATGTCATTGCTGCTTTCGCAGCCAAACTGCTTCTACACAAAAAGAATATGGGCAGACGTGAGTTTCACAATTTTCCGAATTTATCAGTATCCAGCAGTAACGACGACTTGTTTGCTACTGTCAACATTTGGAAAACCTCCACATTGACTTCACCGAATGATACCAGGACATTTTGAACTTTGAATACCAGACTGGGTGTTGGATCCGTTTTCAAATGTCAACACAGCAATATCATATCCCATCGTCATATTTGTGTGAACATGGTTTTATTGCTGTGACAACGCTGCTTACTAAAATGAGAAATCATTTGCATGTTACCGAATGTGGTGATTGCGGCTGTTCTTGAGTAAATTGGAACCTGATATCAACAAACTTATTGAACAGCATCAGATTCATCCTTCACATTAGTTTTTATATTAGAATCGATTATGTTTGTTTTATTTTGAATAAAAGATACTGAGATCTGTCTGAATACTATAAAGTTGCGTTTCAATAATCATTCTCATTGGCAGGTGCAGCCCGTAAGAGTTAACTTGAGACCTGAGCGCCGTTGTGTACTACCTACTGCGCTCAGTTCTCAAGTTAACTCTTGCGGGTTATAGTAAAAGTCTCGTTTAGAATGAATGTTTAATCTCCACTAATATCGCTCACAATAATTTATTTCATTTGAAGTTATAGTGGTTTTTAAGTAGGTGAAAAAATGGGGGCGCTAAAAAAGAATTTATTCTCAAAGTGGGCAGTAGACAAAATAAGTTTGGGAACCCCTGGTTTAAAGTATTCAATAAACACTATCAGCAGGTAGGTCTTAGCTTTGATTTGAATGGTAGCTTTTATAATGCGTTCTTTATTTTCAACTTGTTTATTTAAGGTTAAAGTTCCTCAGGCTCATGTCCTGCTATTACTGTGTTATGTTTGTTATGATAACATTAGTGACTAACATTGTTGTTTGTGGTACTTACCATATAACTGTTATATCATATATTTGAGTACCTGATAGTGCAGATTTCACTATACAATATCTCTTGGTTGGATTGGTGGAAATTCGTAAATGGCATTAGATTACTCATATTTAAGTATACTATAATTGTATTATTTGTCTGTGAATTTTCCTAAAATGTATAAATAAATAATAATAAATAATCTCTTGATTGTATTGGCATATGCTAACAGTTAAAAAAGAATATACACATACTGGCGCATTTAGAGGAACATTGGTTAAATCCTCAAAATAATGCAGTGTGTTTACAAAAGTCTAGTTGGCTATTTTATTTTTTATTTCAAGTATAATTTGCAAATAAAAAATTTGTCAAATTTCTTTTGTTTCATTAATTTGTTTTAATTTACTACTACTAATACTGGGTGTATTGAGTGGTTTGAGGTTGACTTTGGGTTCTTGTTTTAAATTTCATAAGCTTGAAATACTTTTTTTTTCTAGTTCAAAAAATATATTTATTAAGTTTAATCAATGTTTGACTTTACAATTTTTAAATTTGCAGCTGTTTTGATTTATCAAAAAATGTACAAAAAAAAAATTTTTGGTTAATGTTGATTTTTTAAATTAAGTTTGAGTAGAGCTTGTACTAAACCAATGTTAAAAGATGTCAATTTAATTGCTACTTTGTCTTGTTTATTTGAATATAAACATTACTATTTTAATATCACACTTTTTTGTTAAGCTAAATGCGATGTTGTGTGTATATACATTTTCTTTTTTTTAAAAGAAATAAATAGTGGATAGTAGCAATAACTGAATACTGAGTATTGTAGGCAAAATATAGAAAAAACAAGCATAAAACATATTCCTATAATTAAGTACCTATAATTTTAAGGACCAGAAATAAGCTAATCCTTACATACCAATGATAACAAAAAGTATAGCAATAACTAATTCACACCCCAGACAAAACAGTGGTATGAGGAACTAAAATTTTTCTCTTAATTATCGTAAACATTTTTTGACATTGTTTGCTATCATGAGTACAATCACAAGATGAAATACTAATAGATACAAAAGGATAAAATACACCTGTGAGAAGTGTCGTCAGGATCGCCTTTCCGCCGATGATGGGCCAGCTCTTGACGAGTGTAGCACTTCCTCTCACTCGTGAATATCTACCATTTTAATACAAAAAACTGATAAACTAGTAACATTTCTGCAACTATCAAATAACAATAAGTTAAGTAACAACTAATAATCATGTACAAAATAAAAAAATCCTCACCCTCAAATGTTTAACACAGAGATCGCAAAAAAATCTCTCATGAATTTTCCGCATGTGGTCACTGAGCATACTAAATGTCCTGAATGGTGGTTGTTTCTCACACAACTTGCAACGGTTCTCCAAAAGTTTTTCATATGCATTTTTTATCTCTTCGTTGTAGAACCCAATTTTAAACTGTCTCTCAAACAGTTTATCTGTAAACACTCTGTTTCGAAGCTCTTTGTATGGCTCGATGGACTCCGTGAACACAACCTGGATATCAAAAAATTTAACAATTACAAAGCTGTAGTCTGCATCTGCATAAAGCAAGGAATTTGAAAAACTAATTACTTTTAAATAAAAGGGAACATACATTGCATAATATATAGTAAACTAAGTAAGTAGTCAGTGCGAGAGGAAATAACAATAAAGTACAATTCCATTTAACAGGTTTTTACAGTGTGCTTACTCTCGAGAGATTCTGTCTGCATATAGGACACTCGTTTCGGAGGCACAGCACTCGCATTCGCGTAGAACACTCGAAACATACGGGATGATCACACTCTCCTATCGAATAATACACGACATTCTTGAAACACAACACGCAAGTGTTGTTATCATTCGATTGGGATTCTGCCATGGTTTCCGCCTGAACGAAGTACTTCTGCAAAAATGGCACAAACTTAACAAACACGGATTTACAGTGATATTAAAATAAAGATATTTAGTGGAAATAAACACTCAACGGCACCTACGTAAGAGAAAAGGAAGGACGAACGAAAATTTCTCGGCGCTGATATGACACATGGTTGATAGAGATGTACGAGTGCACATATCAAAACCTGTATCAGTATTAGTATTTCATGATATAAAGTAGCTGTGAATTATTTCGTAAGAAGCTTTGGCATGCATGTGTTAGTCTATGGAGCATGGACCCACAGTGAATTCCAATATTTTTACACATTTTGTAAAGGAATTTAAATGACAAACATCATCCGTGAAACATTAAAAAGAACTGTACGTCTAAAATTACTATGTAGAAGGTCTGTGTATAATTTTTTTTTTCTATTATGTTATTAATGTTCGTGTTTACAAACTTTTCAAACGAATATTACATTAATGATGGATATTCATCCAACTCAACAATGGTCTAATTACAAAGAACAAACTGTTTAATATCTCTCTCTAAATCTTTTTTGAAGAATCTGTATTACAAGTTCCAAATGCATTTATTGTTTGATCAATGTAACGATTTCAACTGTAACTTGTTTACACATGAAATAAAGACATTTGTCCATTTTGAATTCATTGTATTACAATCATTACAACTAACTAGAGGTATGCAACGAGTCAAACTTCTATGTGTAAAAGACTTGTACCAAATTCGTATGGTGATCAATACTTTATTCTCAGAAAAATGTAAGCATCCTCAACTTTTAGCCAGATATAACCTTGAAATAAAGAGCTTAGCAGAATAATAAACAAAATCATTGTGACCTACATTTTTTTGCAGATTGAAAACAAAAATGTGATAGAAATAGTTAAATAATATGTCACCTCTTTGTATTTTTCATAAACAATTAAGCAACACTACAATACTAAATAAAGTCCAAAAAGCATCAACACCGTTCAAACAATTTAACCAAAAAATATATACACATATAAACCATTCCGTTTTATGTTACATATTAAAAGTCTAGCCTGTAGGGCTAGCACGACAAGAATAACAATATCTCACGCTTTATGTTGCTCTCGCGTTAGTCGCGCTCTGTCGTGCAAGTCCTACTAGTTAAATTTTACATTTATTTTAGTACCACTAACAAAACAATTATTTTGTTGCAATTTAAATACTGTGGCTTTCGTATAATGTCATCTCAAATATTGAATTATGTTGATTTGAAGTTTTCAACGCTCTGTACATACAACATGAAATGACCACAAGAAATGAACCTGAAATATAAAATAACAGATACAAGAATATGGAACAGATTGATAGCCCTAATTTCCATCATAGCAAAAACGCAAATTATTTTCAAACATTATTCATAGCAAAAGCGCTAGTGTAGTAGATAAATTCTGAATAGCATCTGCGATGCGATTCAAAACAATTTCAAAACTTTTTGCAAATATGTGTGACAGTGGTAGCAGATCTTCTAAACTGCAGTAGGGTAGTGTCTAGTGTCTTTTTCTATAATACTAATAAATTCCGAAATCAGTTAAAAAAGGAATGGCAAAAGTATTGCCAAGTAATTTTTAAAAAAGCAAATTCACCTAAAAACAGCAATGAGTGATTTTAGTGCCCATAAAACGCAAACTAAGCTGACATTATGATACGTATAAGATAAAAGCAAATATATGTAGATAACAAAATAAAAGTTTAAACTGACGATGATTATCTTTATCACTTAATAAAGAGCATACAAAAATCAATGGAACATGAAGGGGAACTACCAAAATGCTTATGACACTATCAAAGAAAATATTATTTTATTTTCATTAACATAAATAAATGCATTCACTGATTTTTTGACAAGCTTAAGCAAAACGAATTGCAGTATTACTTGGAATAAAGTGGTCACACATATAGTGACGGTTTGAAGTTTGAAAATAATGTTTGAAATAGAAATCGTTTTTGGGAATAATGATTTTAACGTTAATATAGATATGTGCAGTTAATTATTGTGGGTAATAAATGTTTTCTATAACTGTGCTGTGAATGAATACTATAATCATGTATTTTGAGGTAAGTTTTAACTAATCTTTGTTGTATTTTGCATACGTGAATATATACGCATTTAGTTTTCGTGTACACTATCTCATTTAGATCGAAAATACTCCGGAGCACATACGTAGGGCTCGTCGGACGGAGGTGGTGAAAAAGGAGTCGCCAAAAGAAGAAACGCCTCGGCTGGTATTGGCCCCGTTTTCAAGACCTCCTCAAGTTGTCTTCGAAAATGTTTTAATTGGGACCACTTGTGAGAGAGATTTGGAGATTTTCAACCCTTCAAAGCAGTTGCAACGGGTAAGATAAATTGTAAGGCTTCCCTATGATATTTTTTTTATATTTCAAACTAGATGTATGAATATATGAATAATAATATAAATGGAGGCAGCAGCGCTAGTTTATACTAAAGTTTGGATAACATTAATAGTGCCATTGGGGGATTAAATTTTAAATCTAAATCACAAGCTAAATATTGTAGATAACGTTGGGACGAACCCTGCCCCCTGGTGTAATAATACATTTGCCGGGAGAATGGCTGACTCTGGATCCAGAAATGTGCTATAGCCTTAGTATGTCATGGACTCCAATGCAGCCTACTGCTCTTCGAGAGACTATTCGCTTCACTGATGACAAACGTGGCCGGTTTGATGTCATTGTCGTGCTCAAGTCAACTATGGTAAGATTGTGATTTTAAGAAACATTTACATTTTGAATTATTTATGAATTGCATAATCTCAAAGAGTTTACATTTGATAGATATTAAAAGTAATGTAATTGAAATAAAATATCTCTGGTAAACTTTAATTTAATGTGCATTGAAAAATTCAACATTTGATTCTTGTAAAGTAAAAATCATGAAAATATTATTATTTCTTGTGATAAAATAATTACTTATTTGACCTTCATCTCACCTGATGGAAAGTGACGATTAGGTTGACAATGCAGCATGCACACCTAAATAATGCCTATTCACTCTTGAAAAGGCCTGTGGTTATAATACCATATTTCAAATATATTACAATTGTAACCATGTATTATATACATAAATAAATGGTAATGATTTTTTGTCAGTAAAGTAATATTCAGCATAACACACATTTACTATTAATTACAGAATGTCAAGGGGAAAAACCAATCCAAAAGCTTTAAAATATCGCCAGGTAAAATTAAAAAGAAATCTGCTAAGAGGTCCCCTGTGGCCATTTGCAAAAAGAAAGCTGAAATAATATACAAAACTACAAATATAAAAAAGACTGTTAATGTTGTTCAGTCCACTCATTATAATGTTCTGAAAACATCAAATAAAGAAAATGTGGCAAATTTCAATGATTACTCTATGAACTCTGGACATGTTAAGTGTCCATTTGATTCACCAAGCAGCATTGACTTTAATTTTGACACATCTGAAGTATTTTCAAACATTAGAAAAACTAAAACTGAAAACATTCTCTATAACACATACGATAAATCATATAATTCTGTGAACCAACTTCCTGTACCGATACCTCAAAATGTGCTGAAGCCTAATAACAAACAAATAAACAATGACTCTGCTACAGACTTATTTGACAATCTAACTTTTACACCTCTGAAAGTTTTAAATGAGAAGAGCGAAAAGTTAGATAAAGGACCTAGGATCATTCTTAGCATTAATTCGGAGAGTGATTTGGATGATAGTCTGGACATGAAGACTACAAATAAAGAAAATAAAACACATGCTATAATTTGCGTTTCATCTGCTCAACAAAACACTTATTCGACTGTAAATTATCAAACCAATGCACAAATAGACAATCAGTACATAGAAACACCAGTCTTACAGAACAAGAAAATTCCTAACACTTCATCTCCAAAGGAACTTAATAGCCCAAATTTCTCAATAAATACAGACTTTTCACGTATTAGCGAATTATCTTTTGTTCCTCAAAGATTTTCTACAGAAAGAAAAATATTTCCAAAGGTTAATGTTGAACCTGCTGAAATTTTTGATGATCTGAATTTCAGGCCTAACTCAGATACTTATACTAAAGATTCTCCCAATACTCCAATGGAAATTGAGCAGATGCGTTTTGAAAATAGACCACCACATTACTTCCTGAAAGATCAACCTAAGATATGCAGGCAGGCTCTTTTCAGAGACAGTCATTACAAGGATCTTTACGATAAAGTTAACTTCCAGTCTTCTGAGAACAGTGCTTGGCCTAGTGATCTCAAACCTGATATCAAATCTCCTCCGCATTCAGTTACTCCACCGCTGCAATCAATTCCTGAAGAGAGCACACAATACTCAGACACTCAAGTCTTCGATAAAACTGATAAACAAATGGCCACATTTACCATCAACCGCACATTTGATAAACTACCAGATAGACCCTCTCTGTCTACTAGTCGTAGACAAACGTGGTCAAAAAAGGACGTTAGAGCTGAACCAGAGCTTTGGAAGGTCCCAACTTCAGTTCCTAAAAAATGCTTAAAACCCAAAGGGAGCATTAATTCTAAGGCATCTCTGGGTGGCAAAATATCTATTACGCTTGAGGGTAATAAGAGCGTAAACCAAAATGTAAGTTTGAACCAACTGGGAAATATTTACTCTCAATCTACCACAGTGGATCCATTCCTTTCGGCTACTTATTTCTATGATGAAGAAGCAGTTCAAAAGTTGGAAAAGGACTTTATGAAATGGCTAAATTGTATATTGACGCCTCCTGCAGACCTAGACAGTAACGTAGAACAGAAAGTAGACGTAGGAAAGGCATGGTTAGAAAACAGAAATAAGGACGTGCCAGCAGCGCCAACAAGAGAACAAGTGTCTAATGCGTACCACAACAGCCATCGATTAGAGAGTCTTCGGAGAGCTGCAAGGGCACTTTTGATGAGTCCAGAAATTGTAGTGGTCTTCAAGAAACTCACTGCTCAGATAGAAAAGAAATTAATCGCCGTCAGATCTGACAAAAATCTTCACTTGGATGTTGGGTTGCAGAAAACTATATTGGAATTGCTTCTTTGTTATAACCCTCTGTGGCTCCGTATAGGACTGGAAGTCATTTACGGACTGGTATTACCTCTCAGGTCTAATAGTGATATCGAGGGATTGACAACATTTATTGTACAAAGAATGTTTAAAAATCCTTTCCTCAAAAACAAAAATTCAAAATCTGGTGTACCAAACATGCTGCTACCAGCTTACATGGAAGCCATTAAAAAGTTTACTCTGAAGAAATTTTTCATGCTCGTTTTTTTTCTAGACCAGGCTAAGCAGAGGAAATTAATACCTCACGATCCGTGTCTTTTCTGCAGAAATGCTATTTGTAAAGAAAGTAGAGAAATAATAATACGTTTCACGAGAGAATTGATCTCGGGTATAGGAGACATTACTAAACATTTGCGTCCGCTTGGCTACGTTGTCAGTCACAAACAATCTTATTTGGACGAATACAAATATGCAGTCCATAATATTGCGTTAGATATCAGAGACGGCGTTCGCTTGACGAAAGTCATGGAAATAATCCTAATGAAAAATGGCCTCCTGAACCAATTGCGCACACCTCCAATTTCAAGACTTCAAAAAATTCACAACATTCAAGTTGCAATGAACGCTTTGAAAGAAACTAATTTTATGATCAACGGAGATATATCAGCGCAAGATATAGCGGATGGTCATCGAGAAAAGACCCTATCACTATTATGGCAATTAATCCATGTATTCCGAGCTCCACTGTTTGTGAAAGCTGCTACGCTCATTCAAACGTGGTGGAGGAAAAAATATGAAATAATTGTAGGAAAACGGAAGGAGGAAGAAATGATAAAACAGAAATTGAACAATGCTGCAAGTGTGATCCAGTGTTGGTGGCGTCGAATTCAATACAATCGTTTGGTCGAATGGCAAATGAAGCAAATTGTCACAGCGACGATAATAGTCCAGAAATACTGCAGAATGTGGATCAATCGAACGCGATTCCGAAAGTGGAAGACTTCTGTGCTAAAAATAGAGGAATGGTGTCGATCAGTAAAACTAAAGAAAGCCGCCAAGGATCAGTTACAGATGCTGAGATTGCAAAGAGAAGAATTAAAACAGAAATCTGTCACTATTATACAGAGCCACATCAGACGTTGGTTGTGTGTAAAACAGTACAAAGCAAAGGTGCAGAAAATTGTTCTACTTCAGAGTATCACTCGTTGCGTCCTGGTTAGAAAATGGTATCTGCAACTTCGAAAATCAGTAGTGTACGTTCAAAGAATATACAGGGCTAAGTTGCTAATGAAAGCAGAAATGCAGACGTTCTCAAAAAAACTAAATAGCGTTATTGTACTACAGTCCTATTACAAAATGATGAAACAGCGAAAGTCATTCATGAAACTGAAAGAATCTGTAAAAGTTATTGAAGAACACTATAAGGCTTTGTTAAAGATGAGGGAACAGCAAAAGAAATATACAGAGTTAAAGAAGCACACTCTTACTTTACAATCGCGTTATAGAGGACGTCAGTGCCGACGGGAATTTCTCAGACAAAAACTGTTAATTATAAAATTGCAGCAACGCATCAAAGCTTACCTTCAAATGAAGAGAGAAGAACAGAACTTCTTGAATCTTAAACATGCTGTCGTTAGTCTACAAAGACGCACAAGATCGTATTTAGAAATGAAGCGTTTGCGAGAAGCCTACATTAAGCAAAGGAATTCTGCTGTTCTGATCCAACAACATTTGCGGGCGTATAGAATTGGAAGAGCTCAAAGAAAAATGTATTTACAAATACGATTTGCAGCTATTGTTGTGCAAACACGTTACAGAAACTTGTTACTGATGCGTCAAGAAAAGTCAGCTTTCTTGAATTTAAAAAAAGCAGCTTTGGTACTACAGAGAAGATATAGGGCGCTAAATATGATGAGACTTGCTTCAGAAAGTTATCAAAAATTAAGATCCGCAACCTTAACAGTGCAGAGAAGATTTAGAGCACAAATGAAAATGAGGCATGAAAAGACTCATTACTTAAAATTTAAATCAGCGTCTATAGTGATTCAGAAAGCGTATAGAGCCTACTTGTTAGGTAAACAAGAAAAGCAACGTTTTATGAAAATGAAAGAAGCATCCATAATTATTCAAAATTGGTTTCGAAACTGTAAAATTGCGAAACAATTCAAACAAGAATATCTTCAATCTAAACAGGCTTGCGTGACAATACAGAGGGTGTATAGAGCTTACATCATAGGGAGACAACAACAACAAGAATACATCAAAATTAGAACTGCCACAGTGTGTATTCAGAGATATTATAGGTCGTACGTAGAGATGAAAATTGTTAGAAATCAATTCATTCAACTAAAAACCGCCACTGTAACCATTCAGAGACATTTCAGGTCACACCTGGTAACTAAAAAACAACATGATGAATACCAAAAGATTCGGTCTGCCGCTCAGACAATACAGAAATTTTATAGACTAAATAGAGAAATGAAAATAATGAAACAAAAGTACTATGAACTGAAGAAAACCGCTATTATTGTACAGCGGAAGTATAGAAGCATACTTGTTATGAGAGCTGAAAGAGCGGAATATCAAGCACTGCGGAATTCCGTAATTACAATACAGCAGAGATTTAGAGCGTTACTTGCAATGCAGCGACAAAGACAAACCTACGCGAAGTTGCGTGCTGCAATAATTACTATTCAAACTAGGTACAGAGCACAACGTCTAATGAGAAAAGAGAGACAGAAGTACATTTTGATATCAAAAGCGTCAACAACCATTCAGACATTTTATAGGGCTTACGTGACAGGCAAAATTCAAAGGGAAAATTACCAGACATTGAAAAAGTCTATAATAAGATTACAGCAGAGATATAGGGCATTACTTGCGATGAGAAAAGAGAGGAAATCATTCTTAACCGTATATAAAGCTGCTATTAGTATTCAAAGAAGGTTCAGAGCGCAAAAACTTATGTTGAAAGAGAAGTCTAAATATCAAAAGGTTCTTAATGCTACTATAACTATTCAGAGGGGTTACAGAGCTTACAAAGAGGGAGAAACGCAACGGGCTAAATTTATGAGGATGAGAAGTGCTGCCATATTTATCCAAACTTGGTTTAGATCCGTTGAAGAAACTAAAAGAATTAGAGATGAATATCGGCAACTTAGAAAGGCAGTCTTATTCACTCAAAGACGTTTCAGAGCGAATGTGCTGACTCGTGAGATACGACGAGAAAATGCTGTTAAAAAAATACAGTCATGGTACAGATCAATACAAAAGCGAAATTATTGTCGCCATCAATTCTTGGAACTGAAGAAAAGTGCTGTTACGGTACAATCCATATTCCGAATGTTTCTGCAACGTAAACGGTTTCTTTCTTTGAAAAATGCAGCTTTAACTATACAAATGCATTATCATGTGTATAAATTAAGCAAAGCCCAAAGAGTAAAGTACGTCCAACTGAGATTGGCAATAATAAAGTTGCAGTCTCTCGTCAGATCATACATAGAAAGAAAGCGTTATCTTGCAATTCGATCCGCTGTCATAGCAATACAGGCTGCGTTTAGATTAAATAAAGAAAGGCAACAGACGAAAGAACGTAGAGAAAGAGCGGCCATTTGTATTCAGAAGAATTTCAGACGATATGTAAAACAATCGTGGTATCTTAAATATCGCGAGCAAGTTTTGTATATACAGAGAATATGGAGAAGTAAACTAGTGACACGATTGATTCGTTGTGAATTTGTACAAAAGAGAAGGATAATAATACAGTTGCAAGCCGCTATCAGAGGGTATTTGGTTCGACGCTATATTCAATGCAAAAGGCAGGAGATAGAGAAACTAAGACAAGAACAAAAACGACATAATGCTGCTTCTGTTATTCAGGTATGTCGTATTTTATTGAAGGAAAAATCGACAATGTTTTTTTTTATTTTCTTGCGTCTCATGTAATTATTGTCAATTTGTAGGCTTATTATCGCGGTCACAAAATTCGCAGTGTTGTGATTACTGATAGACGAGTGACAGAGATAAGACGCAGGTGGCGCGAAGGGGCACTCAAGTCGACGCAGGAGAGTTTGAAGGAGCGCAACGAGGAAGCCATGGAGGTTCTTCGGAATTTCTCTGATATTTTTACTGTTATCAAAGCTTTCCGGTCTCTTGGTGAGTTAACAAAAATATGGAAATTTTTCTATATATAGTGACCGGTGTTCTACGCAGGGGATTTTCGTATATTCTCAGTACAGACTACCTGCTAAAAAAATCGACCTGAAAAGTTCGTGGAATTATTATTATTATTATTGGAATTATACTTATTTGCCATATTTTATTGAAATCGGTTACCAGAAAGTAAGCGAAACCGGATTCATATCCTAGTTTGCCAGCCTTACAGGTGGAATATTTTCTTCAAATTTAAATAAGACCTCTATTGAGGTATGCTCAAAGTTGCGAACAAAAAAAGAATCAAAATCGGTTCACAAATTTATGAATTGACAACTCCTCTTTTTTTGAAGTCGGTTAAAAGTAATCGACATTGCATCTTTACAGAATTATTGACAGAAGTATTCCCAATGATGTACACCAGCAATGCACCGTCCATTGTTCGTCGTGTTTACATCTACATGTCCACCGCAAATAGATCTATCTCCAGCATTGAAGTGTTGAAATCGGCTGCAGCCGTATTGGTAAATCTGACTCGATATCGTATTACTGGACCTAAGATATATTCCGTAAGTAATTTCTTGTATTTTACACAAAATACTTTTTAATGGTTGAACTCCATTGTTAGCGCTGTATTCATACTAAACGTATATGAGGTCAGCACGCTTCAGTATCAGCGGCACACTTGTGTAGCCACACGGACCAGGGGGTCTATTCTCGTTCTCCGTCCGAAACAATTACTGTCAAATAAGTAATACTCGACCAGCTTAAAAGACGCATGATGCGAATGAAGTATTGGGCCAATCCAGTAGGTACCGCTTAATCTGTGCTACTAGGCGCGTAAAAATGTTATTGCGACCGGAAACAATATCCCCTGTTTGCTAAAGCATCGATGATATGCTGTTGAGGGTTTGAGGATTGCGTGGTGTGCGTGCTTACAAAATGTAGGTGATACATCAGCAAAATGCGAAGGCGTGCTGAATTGGAGTTTCTTTTATGAGATTAGTTCTTTATTAAATGCTTATAAACTTCGTTCTAAAAGATGGCACGTGGCAGCCCCTTACCAGTTTTTATTTTTGTTGGGCTAATCCTTATACTTCGACACTATTCCTTAACAATACTAACCTACGTTATTAATTTTTACAATTCCTTTCTAGAGAGAAAATATTCTGCCAATTCTAAGATTCATGCGTCGTTTTAGTAACAGTCAGACGTACTTGTTCTGCATTATGTGCACTTATCTATGGCTGTTCTCCAAGTACGACGAAGTTAAAGAGGTGAGTTATATGATTATTTTTATTCGAATTTTGGTTCAAATTGGAAATTTACTAAAATTCGTCAATCAAAGGGCAAATTATGCATGCATAATTTTTTCAAAACCAATTGTACCTACTTGATATGCTCACGTTTGCTGACAGTAAAAAAGTAACGTGGATGTTGCGTACATAGTAACCCTTTCTTTTTTGGTCCTAATGTAGGACAATATAACGTTAACTTCGTCTTTTTCTAGGATTTAACACAATTCTTTAAAGAGCCAGACAATTTAAAAATGCTGTCGACAATCAAAAGCGACGTTGAAAGAGCAAAACGAATGGCGAGCAACTCCAGAAACAAGTTTCATACGCCACAAGTATCAAAGTTTGTCTCTCATACAAAGAAACTTGATATGAACTACAGTGTTTGTTCAAATTTAAGCCTTTGTTCTAATAGAGGTGATTGTTTAGTCCTGCCTGCATTGGAGCCCGACTATGGCATCACAAGGGATGACAAACCTAAGTACTTTCAGGATACCTATCAAGCTATAACTTGCCTATATAACACCTACGACTTATGAATTCTTAGTAGTGAAAGATATTTTTGACTTAGTTTAGAATAGCATTACTATACTAATTGATATCACATAATAGTAGGTAAGTACTATAATTTTTTAATACAAGTTAATATGTTTTTTAATGTAACCTAATGTAATTTGATATATATGTAATTTTTATTATTGTTATCATATAGTTAATTTTAAAATTACAATAACTTTCTTATCTTTTTCTTACATTTTTGTTTTCTTAGACTCGGCGTCCTGTCCATAGACAGACTTGCACGTACCATAAAACGACTAAAATAAATTAATAATCTGTGGTCACGTCTACATTATCTATGGAATTTGACAAGCAGTGAACATTGAGGTTATGTTTATTATTGGCGGAAATCTTGATGTTCTCAAGAAAGTAATCCAAAACATGATGGACGAGTTCGTTAACTACTTGCTATTACTATTAGTGATACTACCAGTTGTTTTGTTTATTAATTTGTGGGCTGGTATCGGCTGGGAGCTTTTTGTAAATAACTGAAAAGAATTCAATGAAGATTTCAAGTCATTCCATATAATTACGTAAAATGGCTCTGCTGGGGACAAGACTTTCCAAATGAAGAGCATTCATTGAAATAGGGACTCAAACTCTAAACACCAGGATTGCAGTAAAGCTGCTATTTGGTCAATAGAGTTTTATATCTTTAGTTACTTATACAAAGAGAATTATATCGAGAAGATTCCGTATTTTTAGGATTATTAAATTTTAAGTCACTCCAATGTGTAGGCATTTGTTAAGATTTTAGCTTTATGTTTGAATTATGTTAATTTTGTGTTGACTTTAATATGTAGTAATACATTGTATAGCTTAATAAATTTGTGTCCAAAATAAAATACTTCATAATGATACAAATATTTTATTACTTTGTCCTAAGTTTCATAATTTAGATGTTGATACATGTACATTAAAACTACATTTTACAAAGTCTTGTGTTTAAAAAAACTATTTTCTAGATCTCGCTATGTACTCGCTACTTTACAAATAACCAGGGTTATTTGTAAAGTAGTGACAACCTCGCCGCAAAACTATATTACAAACATCATAAACAACAACTTTTGTTCCGTGACTTTTAGTAATTCTTTAGGTTTTACCATCATACATAAACTAATATATTGAAATAGATAGCTCTAAACGGTAATGACTCTGTGTAGGACGGGGACTTGTCGCGATATACACTTGCACATTTGAACTTACTACCAAATAGACCTAATAAGTGTCAGATAGTACTACAAAAACTTCAAAAGTTTATTTTTGGTAAATTTATTATGTTCTGTAAAAAGTCATGGAACAAAAGTTGTTGTTTACGATGTTAGACATATACTTCTGCATGGTTGTTAGTATTTTAAAAATAACCCTGAATAACTACAAAAAGTTTCCAATATCTATTAGATGAATATATCTAGAAATGTAAGGCAAATTTCAAAAAAAAATTACTTAAGTTACTATCACACATCTGGTATAGTACAGTCAGTGTTAAAACAACTACGTGAACAGCTCAAACTCTCCAAAATTATCTAAGAAACAAATTCATTTAACCAACCTTATTGTATATGATAAAGAATAAGTACTTTATGTGCTGACTGTACATAAACCAATGAAAAAATTAATTAACTTTCATAGAATATTTCATATTATATTATATTTAAATTGATTACTATAAAATTATAGATTTGGGCATTTCGTGATATGCGTGATAATTCATGAAATTACATATTGTTTAGCTGCTAACACTTTATGGATATCTTGTCTGAAATAAAGATTTTGATTTGATTTGATTTGTTATATCATGATGCGCTGAATTAAATGAATGATGAATAATGAAGTGCCCTCTTCTATAATTGGTTGACTACATAATAATATTATTTCAGCACAGAGATTCTTTGGTCATAATATTTCTTCATAATCAAGTCAACTAAAAGAAATAATGTACAGTCAACAGCACATCAAGCTACACATTGACGTATTTTGTTCCGTTGCACTCGAGGCGATTTTCGAACAAAAACGTGTAGTCTGATGCGCTATTGTCCGTACAACAACATTCTTTCATTACTTTTCCTTTAGCGTTGGTGATTCATAAATTATCAACAAATTAAATAACAGCTAAACATCTCCGCACATATACCTACAACATTTAATAATTAAAATTGAATTACAGCATTTAAATTTCACTAGAGAGTAACAACTCCTCCATGCCCATGTGGCCGCGATGTCTCCACACCCTGTATCTTGCGATATCTTTTCTTGTTACCATGCCTACGACCTGTAAAAAATCATAGAGATATAATTTGAATTGGTTGACAAACATTCAAGTTCTTTATGTAGATAATCGTTACCCAGTATGCTTTGTCATAAAAAGTTTTAAAATATAGACAATTGTCATTCCTAATTATCAGCATTCTAAAGAATCGATATATTGAGAACTCAAGACTGGGCAATATATGCCTGGTTAAATTAGGTTTTTTGTTCTAGTGAGTAAGGAGTTGCTCAGTAACTGGAACTTATTAGGCTTATTCTTGTTTATCATATCAGCATCATAATCTTAGATAAAGGTTCAATATTTCAATTCTCGCCTCGCCCAACCTCGTCAATCTAAGATCATAAAGATGCGCTAGAATTTTGCCATACAAATTTCAATCTCCTTCTCGCCTTGTCTGGTCACGCCGCGCCTCGCCGATGAAAAGTACCTTTAACAGCCGTAAAAACTGAGGAAAAAACTGAGCAACACACAATCTCCTACCTCATTAACGTCATTGACTATAGGCAGGTGCCGCAGACCAAGCGCGCGGAACAGCCGAAATAGCCGCGGTAGCGAGGCGCGGTGGGGCAGCGTGTATGGCGAGGGGTTCATGAATGGACGCAGGTCTATCATGCACGTTTTCTCCCAATCTAAAATCTGGAGCTGTGGACGAAAATAAATTCGCGTGTACTGCAAACTGCGCTACGCGGCATAAACTTCAGTATACCATAATGTACGAGATTTAATCAGTAAAAAAGTCTAATCTAAGTTACGATATGAAATAAAAAATAGCGTTACAGCATTGACAAAGAAAACAACAATATTTGATACAATTTTTTTTATTAAAAAAAAAACGCCAAATGTTCGTGGAATTACACCTATTTGCCAAGTGTTATTGAAATTGCGCGAAACCGGATTCATCCCCTAATTTGCCACCCGTTGAGGTGGAATATTTCCTTGAAATTTAAATGGGACTAATACTGAGGCACCCTCTTTCCAATAAAAAAAGAATTATCAAAATCGGTTCTTAGATTATCGCGTAACATACATCCTAAAAAAATGCAGTCGAATTGAGAACCTCCTCCTTTTTTGAAGTCGGTTAAAAGTTTATGACTAATCAATATCTAATCTTGATTTCTCTCCAACACTCTCTTCCATTCGGTCAACAATCTCGCTAACTATGTCACAAACAGATCACACTGCGGCGGTGCTATGCGAGTACGGAGTTGAGGAGTGTGGTCGCGCGGGGAATGGGCGAGTATCGGTACAGTTGCGTCAGTGAGGGCACAGTCGCTAAGAGGGGTACACTGTGTCGCCTGTTACAGTAATCATTCGGTACTTTTAATCTAAGGATCTTTTCCACGAAGTTTCACACAGCCATCCCGACGTCAGAATGGCTGGCCACTTAATTTCTCTAATATATTCATTAACGCAAAAGTAGCAAATAGGTAGTAAATATTGCGCCCAGTTTGATTTGTATATCTCGTTTGGTCCAGCCATCCTGACGACACTCTTATTCCTTAAAACATTTAGGCGCCGCGCAAACGTGTGTCTTGTGTCGGCAGCCGGCAACTAGAAGCGAACATTCTATTTCCATACAACTAATATGAAATTGACACAGGCGCCGGTTGCAGCAACCGCAATTATATCAAGATAGAATATTTGCTTATAGCAAGACACGCAAGTTTACGCGGCGCCTTAAGATATATTTCTTCGCAATTCCAGTGGCTTAAAAACTTAAGACGTTATCCTAATGTGTGTATGGGACTTGGTTGCTTCAACTTCTCTTCCAGACTTGCTTCAACTTCACTTGGATAAGGTGTGAAAATTCACTATTTGCAAGCCGAAATAATCGAACTTACCTGATCGATAGAGGGGTATCGTGGATAACCTTCTCTGAACATGTTCATATCGACTTTGATGTTCGACCACGTCGTGTTCGCGTTCTCGTTGTACAATTTCTTTTGTAATAGAACTATTAACTGCGAGCGAAGTATGAGACCTCTGAGGCGTTTGTACGTTGTTACTTCGGCCTAAAAATTCAGCCAAAACATCGAAGAATTACAATAATACACAAATAATAATTTAAAAATACACAAATATGCAAGAAGGTGTGTGCGGTAGTCATATAATAATATCAGGTAATTTTTATATTAAGTATAATACATAAATATTCATTGCATACCCTTTTTATTTGGCTACTGTACTGTGTACATCCGTCCGGACATGTCCGACTTTTTCACGTTTTATCCGGATTTTGTCCAGATTTATTATGTCTAGATTTTAAAAATTTTCAGAATAAAAAGTAAAAAATATAAATTTTTTGCCGACTCTCACTTACTGCGCTGGATAATAACACGTTTTTATCATTAGCAACTATAATAAATATTAAAAATAATAACAAAAAAAGAAAACAAAAGATACTTGTCCCGTCGCGCGGTTTTACCTCCTTGCATAATAATATGGTTAAATTTGAATAAAACTCGATATACGACAAAAATTACGTAACCCAAGCGCTTACCCATCTCTGCTGCCGCGCGAGAGACAATTTTGACTTTATTTTGTTACTAAAAAGTCCGGATTTTCTTGAAAATGTCTGTCAGAACTGCCTAAACAAATTTCGGAATGGTAAACCTCACTTAATACTTACATCATCAGTAGCCGGCGGGTCGACAATCGGGAATCCATTATACGTGGTAACTTTTAATATCTCCACAATATGGCCGACGTTCTCAACTGTACGCAATGTGAACACTGGGTGCGACATTACTTCGGAGGCGTAAATGTTGTGAGTTAAGGGTGGTGGCTCCCAAGGTAAGATGGGTACGGCTGCTAGTTGTATGTATGTATCGTAGATACCCTGAGGAACATAGGGCACATGTTTTAAGCACGTTTGCAACGAAATGAATACATATACTCTTATCGCCACCTTGCATTTTTATTCTTAAGAGTTGATACAACCGCGATTCCGCATAACAGTGAATGTGTTTAACCAATCACTTTGGAAAAAATATATAGTAAAATTGAGGATATACACTGATTAGTATGTGGTGTGAAAACACGATTAGGTACTACAAAATTTTCACGATAGAAAAAAACACAAATTTACCTCGAAATTTTACAAGAAAACCGCTGTATTAAAAAAAAATACTAAGTATATGCAATGCGATACTTTAGGGATGAAAAGGTGTAAGAGCCAAACTACAAAGTTTGCAAGGGCAAGTGAAAAACATTTCTTTATAAATGATTATAATGAAGCTATAAAGCATATAACCTTTTTAAATTTTATACCTATTTTTGCGTGAAGACTTAATTTTTTGACGAAAAATATTTCTACGACCAAACAGATGGAAAGAGCTAGAACATTAATAATAAATTGAAAAAATTGGCTTTTACGCCTTTTCGTCACCGAAGTATCGTTACTTTTTATCAATCAAACTTCGATGAAGCCTTTTGATTTTTTATCATAAGTGACGGGACGAACAAGTCATGCGCCTGATGGTAAGCAACACGCCTGTCCATAGTAATTTTAGTACCATTTAGAGTTTTAAATCGTTAAGATCTGAAGTGCACTGCTACTACGCCCGTCAACCTGAGGCATAAGTTAACAAGTCCCATATGCCTGTAATTTCATAAGAACTCTTACCCTTCAAGACCGGAACGCAGTAACGCTCACATTGCTGCTTGGCGGTAGAAATAGATAAGGTGGCAGTACTATCCTTGACGAACTCTTTCACAAGGAACTCTACTGCTATTAAAAATGCAAGGTGACTCGAATTATGTGTCCGGGAGTGTAGCCAATGACCCGTTTTACCCTCACTATTTCAGAGCAGACCTGCGACTATAAGGCTCAATTTATATTGCGCCGGAACGGAATGGCGAATTTTTGTATATTGTATATAGCGTAATGAACTTTATGGTCAATTGTGTAAAGTACAAACTAGATACGAGCCAAAAATCACGTCGCGCGTCTTTCGAGGAATTATGCATCCTCGAGAATGCTCGCGCATTTGCAAAAATTCCGCAGCTGCTAACGGCGACTCTTGGCGAATCTGCGGGAAATGGTGCGAAGGCAGGCGCAGTGTGACGTCAAACGTCGACGAAATACTACAACCTCAAGGCGCGGTCGTCGGTCGCTGGAATGCTCAAGTATTCTAGCGACAGGCGAAATTGACGCTTCCATTCATTTAACTGCCTCCGTGACCGAACGGGTACCATACCTGGCATGACTGCCACGCAGGGGTCCCAGGTTCGATTTCCGGGTCGGGAGAAATATTTGTATGGCCTACATTTATTTCATTTGTGGTTGCCTATGAGTGTGTCCATGCACCCGCGAGACAGGGTTTCCCTAGTGTGGAGCTATGATGAGTGTGTGCGTTATTATTATCCCGTTCCGCCGCAATGTAAATTAAGTTAACATACTTTATTGCACTTTAGTATATTATTAGATACCTCATTGAAGAAATCCCCTATCCATTTAGCGACGATCAGCGTAGTGATAATCGGCAGAGCGTTGGATATCTGACCAGTGGTCTCAATTATTATAACAGTCAAGGAAATGGTCATCCGGACCACGCCGCCAAGCTGGGCCGCTGCGCCTATCAGGGCGTATTTCTCTACGCTTATTGTCTGAAACAAGTAGCTTGTCATAAACTATAATAAAACGGACATAGGTACTTATTCCAGTAGACTCAATAGTCAATAGTTGTCAATATTGCTCTTTATAAGTAGAATAGATGTTGAAATCATTTTAAGTACATTTATTTATGAGCCAGCAGGGCATAACAAAAATTACTTATATACTAATTACATTAAATTATTATTAAATGAAAGTATAATTATATACTATATGTTTACATAATCTGTATATTATAATAGTAAATATGGAAGCTCGTAACTTCGACAAGTTTCTATATTACCTGGTTATTATAATAAGTATCTATTACATTTACATTGTAATGAAATCTTTACAATACACAGATAATAACTTAACTGCCTCCGCGGCCGAACG